TTGTAACCATCTCCTGATCTCTGTTTCTTACCACTTTATCCCTGACTTGTTTGAAAAGCTCCTTGGTCTTCATGGTTAGTTTGTCAGATCACTATGTGAGTTGTGGCTTGAACAGATACATTTACTCTAAAATCAATTTGAACCACTTTGATTACAAACAGAGACCATTACACTAATGTTGTAACCATTCAAACAATCTTTTGCACCTGAACTGATTAAGGGTTGTCATAGCAAAGGTGTTGAATACTTATGCAATTGAAAATATTCTAATTTTCTTTGAAAATCTAACTTACATAATATCAGGGTTTTTGAGCTTTCTCAGTTTGTATTAGATTGTGTAGATTCTAAATATAAAGTCCCATTTGAAAATTTCATGATTGCAAGCTCAGAGGGCAAGAAAATATGAAAAATTTGCAGGAGGTGAATACTTTTGCAAGGTATTGTAAGTTTAATGCAAGAGTTGTGATTTAGATTAGTATAGAGCACGAGTGTGAGATTTATTTATTTTTATCGCAAGTTTGTTTACATAACTTTTTACGAATCATACATTGTATAGTTCAATTGTTGTGAATGGGCGATAGTTATATTACTGCGGGCCTGGCATGGCCAGGTGGTTAGGGCACTCGAGTCGCAATCTGAGGGTCGCGAGTTCGAATCCCTGTCCCACCAAACATGCTCGCTCTCTCAGCCGTGGGGCGTTATAATGTGACAGTCAATTCCACTATTCGTTGGTAGCCCAAGATTGACGGTGATGACTAGCTGCCTTCCCTCTAGTCTTACACTGCTAAATTAGGGACAGCTAACGCAGATAGCCCTTGTGTAGCTTTGCGCGAAATTCAAAACAAACAAACAAACAATATGTTACTGCATAATGTTACTAGAACCTTCTATTTTTCTCGTTGTTTTAATTCAATATCATTGCATCATAATATCTCGTATTTTGTGGAATGTTCTACGCCCCTGTTGGGGTATAAATACGCATCAAAAATGTTGTTCAAATTAATTATATAGATATATAGATCTAGACTGCGTGGCTGTGAGTTTAGCAATAAAGTAGAGAAGAAATAATTTGTTTTATAAAATTGGGTTCTAAAGTAACTGAACCAGTATATATGAACTTTGACGAGAAAAAGACAGTTATTTAAAGCTCCGGATACAACTGTAGTAACCAACAATGTAATGAACATTTTTATATACGTTTTAATATAATATTTTATGCAAGTGGATTGTGTGCTGTTTGATTTTTTTTAATTTATCGTCATCAAGTTACAGATACCTTTGTAAAGAATCCTGCCCATACATATATAAAAACCTGACAAACTTTCTGACTAACTCATATTGCAATAATCCATGCTGATGATCAGCAATGTTCGGTTTTGTTCAATAAGTAAAATATTCATTTATTTTGTTTCACACTTCAATACCATGTCTTGTCTTTTTTTTCCATCTACTTCCAACAAATCACGGCATTTTTCCTTCAACATACTAAATCGAAGAATCTCTCTCTTTTTTTTTTTGCGAATATTAGATAACTTTGTGCATATATCACCACCCTGATTTCTAATGACGTTTCTGCCAATTCTCTCATTATCTAGATAGAGAAGTAAAACGAGCTATGTGGTCAACTGCAGGGCTGATACAGGTCCTTAAGTAATGTTGGTCATGAAGTTTGATTCTTACCGTTTAGTTTTCACAATCCTTCAGTTGCTGCCCTTAAGTCCATGGCTAACGGAGTGTCGATCCTTAATGTGTATATTGCACAGATAAGTTGAGATAACAGTCTTTATTGGGTGTAATTGACCTTCTACACCACCTAGGATCTCTGGTGTGCAGACCAGTTGTCTAATAATCTATTCACAACTTTCGTCCAAAGGACGTAATTGCACCAAAAGGAGCTGCCTGTTGTCCTTGTGTTTGACCACTTTCAAATATCTGAACAGGTCTAAGAGTTTGTAATTCTGTCAGACACCACTGACGTCTACCATCAGATAGCATTGTCACCAATACTAAAAACATCAAATGATGAAATCTGAAAATATAATGTGAGTAAAGATTATGTAGCCTTTCTAGAGAAGGTAGCACATGCAAAATTCGTCAAAACAGCTGTGCATTCTCACATCTGGACGACTGAAACGTGCAAATAATTATATGTCACACAGATTTTTAGAATTAAAATAGCTCAACTCCAGAGTTCTTTTGAGGCTGGGGGGGGGGGGAGGCCACCAGAGTCTTTTATGTCGATTATTTGATGACGTCACAATGTTGACACAGAAAAGTAACTCATATGCAGAAGCATGACATGTCGCAAAGTAGGCCTACATTGAAGTACGCCAGCATAAACGATATGAATTGGTAAGAATGTGATAACTTATTTTTAAATTTACATATGTCCTTGGACTACTTACAGCAGTAACGTTTTCATAAAAATGTCTCACAACAGGAGCGTTTTCACAACAATTTCTTACAACATGAACGGCGCTGCGGTTCGCTTCCCCTCAACCCAAGTCCTGTGCATGACATGTTTGTTCCTTTAATTTTTGATGTGGTATAGAAATAAAGTTCACAAATTTCTTCATTAATTCCTCTCGAAATATACTCATTGTTTATTCTTTATCGCGAAATTTTATTTTTTACTGTGGTTTGTTTGCAATTAAGCACAAAATTAAAGCTACACCATAGGCTATATGTGCTCTGCCCACCACAGGTATCTAAACCTGGTTTCTAGCGTTGTAAGTCCATAGAAATTCCACTATGCCACTGGGGGCTTTTTATTTTGATAATAGTTACATACGCTAAATTTCATAATTCAAGAATATTTTTATTGATTATTGAACTTCACAATGAAACATCCCTGTTTATGTCCGTAAGATCACCTCATCTAGTAAATATATATTGTTGCGTCAGCGAGGTCACATGACTAGTGTCACGCCACGTTTCTAGAATTATCCTGTACCTTGGCGAATGCTCTAGCATTTACTAGATATAGGGTAGTCTGGTATATAAAAGAGGGTGACAACGTGACGGGACAATAATGTGTATAGGTAAAGAGTAATTGAACTGCAGCCAGAGAGAGACGTATTGTTGAAGTTAACGTTCGTTGTTAAA